TTTTGGAAGTGGTGCTTTCATTAAAGGCATTATGAAATTCTGGTTTTCGTTGTCATTATGGGGCCCTGGAAGGGCTGTGAGAATCAGATGCTACCTCAGTGTTGTTTAGCAGAGCTGTAGTATTTATGACAATTATTTTAGAAAATAGGAGAGATCTCTGTTACTGCAGTGTGCTTTCTGGATTGAATTGAAGCTTGGACTTGCTGTGTCTCAACAAGGTTAAAACTGCTTAGGATTAGAGCAAATTAAAACTTTGCGGAAACACTGTACTCTTCACAATGCTTTCCAGCAGAGCAGAGCCTGGGCTGTGTTTCATGTCTTGGCTTCATAGGAAATCTCTGAGGCAAGCTCAGTGTCTGAGCCTGGGGCGGATGCTTAGTCTTGTAGCTGTTGGCCAATTTACATTGGAAGTGGAAGTTACAAGGTCTGTGCTCATCTCTGTTCCCAGGACAGCAGCCTTCCCAGACAATGTTATCTTTACTTGCTCCCTGCTTTCCCTTTTGAAGCTGTTCAGCCATCCAGCAGGCAACTTGGGAGGCCCCAAGGTGGAGGTGGGAAGCAAAAGAGGCAGTGCAAGTCTGTTGGCCAAGTTGCAGTGTACTCGCATCAGGGAGGTGCTTCTGATTGCTGTTGGTGATGTGGGTTGTTATCTCTGAAGAACCTGGTTCTCGCTCCACAGTGGGGAAGGCACCATAACCAGGCTTCATCAAGGCAGGGTGAAGGTTTGTCTTCATCTGCTTTCTGTCAGTAGATGTGAGTGACAGGGTCTGACTCCCCTCAAGATGAGGACTGATTTCCCAGCCAAATGCCGTAACCGGAAGGTCAAAAGGAGACATCACTTTTCACCCTTGTCCAGTTGTGTTTGGAAAGAAAATGCTGGCAATCACATTTTGGCATGAACCTGGCAGTCCCAGTCTGGCAGTTTAGGAGTGGAAGAGTACTGGGATGGTATTGGAGCTGAGCAGGAAGGTGCAGAGGTGCAGGCAAGGCAAACCTTCAAGCTCAGGTGGTAGCTGAGCAGCCTCTGAGTGCTTGCACTTTCCTCATTCATTCCATGTAGCTTGCAGCAGCCTGCTCATGTTGCTGGTTTGTGAAACTATTTTAGCTGTTGTGAGGCATCTTGAGAGGTTAAGATAATTGTAACTTGTCATTTACTTGTGATGGTAGAAATAATGAAATGAAGGTCTTGGGGGAGTGATAGAAATTTGGGGATTGGTGGGATGCAAAGATTGAAAAAAAAACCTGGAGAACGTAATGAAGTGAATCACTTTTGTACGGTAACCTTTTGAAAGAAGCCCAGTGAAATTTTTTCTGCTCCATGAAGACAATTTACCCTGGCTCATACAATCATAGAATCTTTGGGTTGGAAGGGACATTTTAAGGTCACCTAGTCCAACCCCTCTGCAAGGAGCAGAGGGACATCTTCAACTAGATCAGGTTGTTCAGAGCCCTGTCTAACCTGACTTTGACTTTCCAGGGATGGGGCATCTACCACCTCTCCGGGCAACCTGTGCCAGTGTTTCACCACCCTCATGGTGAAAAATTTCTTCCTTCTATCTGGTCTAAACCTACCCTCTTTTAGTTTAAAAACATTATCCCTTGTCCTATTGCTACAGGCCCTGCTAAACAGTCTGTCCCCATCTTTCTTATAGGCCCCCTTTAAGTACTGGAAGGCTGCAGTAAAGTCTCCCTGGAGCCTTCTCCAGGCTGAACAACCCCAACTCTCTCAGCCTGTCCTCGCAGCAGAGGTGTTCCACCCCTCTGAGCATTTCTGTGGCCTCCTCTGGACCTTATCCAACAGGTACATGTCTTTCCTGTGCTGAGGGCTCCAGAGCTGGATGCAGGATTCCAGGTGGGGTCTCACCAGAGCAGAGTAGAGGGGCAGAATCCCCTCCCTCGACCTGCTGGCCACGCTGCTTTGGGTGCAGCTCAGGAGACATTTGGCCTTCTGGGCTGCAGGCACACATCACATTAGAGCTCATCTCATTAGAGATTTCAGGGTGCAGCTGTCTCCAGGTGTATATGTCTTTTATAGTATGCAACAGTGTCCTGTGTGTTATTGTAGCAGAAATTAAGTGATACCTGCTAAGCCTGAGGGATGCAGCTTTCAAATTGAGATGGATGCCTAATTTTAGACTCTTATGTTCAACGGTGGTGTGAGACAGGAAAAATAGATACATTAGGTGCGTAAGAATTGTGCTCTTTCTTTTTTAGATATTGCAAAAGATATATTTGCACATACAACAAAAATTGAGATATCTGCTCTTGGCTGTCGTTCTGAAGCTGAGACTTCAGATTCTGGTTTGTCAGGATATCAGCTGGAGTTCTGGTGTGCTCTGAGGCAATCTGAAAAGAATTTGGTGTGGGGAGATTCCACATTCGGTGCTGATCCTTATCATCCCCTACCTCCTGTCTGATATATGAAAAATAAATAAATTAAAACTGAGGTCTGTTGGCATCTTCAGAAATCAGGTATCAGCTACGTGAATCAAAACTGCTATTCAGGTTCAGAAGTTAGAAGCTTTATGTGGAGATTGACCTAGCATATATTTTAGAATTGGCAAGTCACAACTGAATATGAATTTTATATCAGTCTTATCTAATACAGTCTGCAACTTGAAACCAATATGTATGTTTACATTTTAAAGTTAGCTACATATATTTATGAAAATCCTAAGAAGTCAGGTATTTGTCAGGTAGGAAAAGCTAAGGAGTCAAAGGGCAGGTTTGAATGCACTTATAAATTCTGATTCCAAGTATTTGGCCAGTAAGATGTACAATCTCATAGTTTGATTTTAAAATTTTCTGTTTAAATATATTTTAATTTGGATACCTTCAGATTTTTAGTATATTCAGTCTTAATATGCGTTGTCCTGATTTTTGCATAATTTGTTACATTTGAAAATACAAACAGTACTTATCATTTTTTGAAATTACAACTTTTTTTTTTAAACCTGCATGAGTTTTAAACATTTTCTTCTTCTTGCATTTAACTGTGCTTTGGTACATACTGGGCCATGGAGTTTTACAGGGCTGTTCCATGCCCTTTCCTTCTGCTTACATAATATGTCCAGATACTTTATGTAAGGATGATTGTTAATTGAGAAGTTTTTTTCTCCTGGTACTCTACCGTAAGATACTGTTCTTGCTAAGAGAAGTTTCTATTCATAGTTCAACATTTGACTCCAATTATTTCAAGCTATTTACCTCAGGCTTACAGTTATCTTTTTTTTTTCTCAGTATTAGTTTTGTTTGATAAAGTAGGCTCAGATATTAGGGATTTTGACATTACAATTATGAGGAAGAATATCTTCTCAGGGGAAAAATATACTTTAATCTTTGTTCTGCCATTTGAATTTATGATATGAAGATATTTGGGATTAAAAAATGGAAAATACTTTCTTCTTTTGTTAATTTCATTTCTGCCACATATTACTTGTCATCTTCCCTGTTACGACTGTCTCCTTGGTGTGGGACTAGAAAGTCATACAGTTCATGCTAGTTTGATTTTTTTTAAATGTAAAATTAGCTACCCATTATTTGGCTGAATCTGTATTTGAGCACATAACTAGATGTGAAGAAAAATAATTATTTTTTATTACTTTGTATTGTGGTAGTTATAATAATTTTTCCTCTGGAACTTATGGATTGACTTGAAGAGTTATCCCATCCCATTTTCTAACACTACTTGGGAATCTGAGGGCACGCATCTTTCTTTTTGCATAAGCATACATAGCGCACAGCCCCCAGCAAGCTGCAGGCGAACTGGCTCATTCACACACTGTGGTGGCGTGCAGATATTAGAGTGATTTTTACAGTGGCTATTTTTTGAGGCTGATTCAAGTTTACTGTGTTCAAGTCTGGAGCCAGATTAGTTGCAGCTAGCTCAGATTCCTCCCTGCATGTTCTCTTTTGCTGTGTAATGATTCCTTTGCCTCACCCTGAAAGTCCACAGTGCTTAAATTCTGAATACTTACTGAAAATGATGTGTGGAGGAATTTTCAAAAATCTTATTCCACAGTCACAAGCAGAGGATGTGGAGGTTTCTTAATCATTCCCTTTCCCATGCATGTCAACTCATTGATAACTTCACACCAAGTCTGTACTTGATACAAACACTTGTGTGAGCATTACAGATATGATCAACTGCTCCTTGGAGTCCTTGGCAGTTAGAAGCAAAGTTCCTATTATAAAGACCTCTAGCTAGAGGAACGCTGTGAACTGCCATGAGGTTTCCTGCATCTGGCTGGTGTGAGGTGCACAAAGGATAACACTTCCAGAATGTGCTTAATGTACCAAGGCACTGTAGCAGCTATTTTGCGGGGGATGGATGGGATGGGACACGGACATTATGTATTTTCCACTACAGAAGAGTAATAAAGAAAACAATACCTACGTTACATGTGGGGCACTTTTTCCTTTCTTTTAAGGGAATTAGAAAAATGTGCAGGGAAAAAATCTTCAGAGGTGTGTTACATGTGGGGCGCTTTTTCCTTTCTTTTAAGGGAATTACAAAAATGTGCAGGGAAAAAATCTTCAGAGGTGCCAAAGGATTAAAAGGGAGACTGTTACTCTCTCTGCTAATGAAACAGGTGGGATACTTCCTTCCACTCTTGTGCTGGAAGGCATGCTCAGGTTTTGCGTAATACCAAGACGCCAGATGTTAAGAGAAATTCTCCTGTTGAAATCTCACCTTACAAACAGTGTCCTTTCGCATGTGCTATATATATTTGAAATATGTGCAGTACTTGTTAATTCACCAGTAATGACTTTTTTTATGGTACAAGTTATTAGATGCTCTAACCTTGACTTTCCCAAGTGGTAACTGATTGTAACTGTGGGTTGCGCTATAGAACTGCACTGTAATCAAAAGCAAGTAATTTGCAGAAAGATCCAGTAAATTATTTAGGCACTGAAAGTTGGATTTATTTAGAATTTAGATGCCAAAATCTTGGTGATGGTGCCAAAATCATGATCATGGTAAGTCCTGCTTTATTTCTGTCACCAAGACTGAAACAGTTCAGTTATATGGATGCCTTTTTTTTTTTTTATGTTTCCTCAGATAGCTAAGGAATCCAGGCAGGACTGAAGTAATTGAGTCTGCTTAAAGCAAAGCTCCCAACCCATGTATAGTCCTGATGAGAATCCAGAAACAAAGCTTCTGAATCTACAAAATACCGTCAAGTGATATTTAACATATGCTGGTAGGACTGGGGACCTCAAAAAAAGTTTTAGCTATTTTTCTTTTTTTTTTTTGACATCTGTCAAAAGGTTTATCAAAAAGGAGATAAAATGGCAGTAATTGTATTTTCTTTGAAGTTCTCTGCTTTCTAGTTCCATCAAATGAATGCTTTAAAAAAAAATTCATTACATATAGGAATCTTATCAATATTCTCCAGAGGTCAGTCTTCTGGCAGTGGTTTTCTTCACTGAACCCCACTAAAAAATATAGCTGCAGAATATTTGAGCAAACTCTCAGCTTCAGTATAATGGATTGCATTGTGATTTTATGGTTTGATGCTGAGCCTGAGCAGCTCAGGCTTCAGACTTGTGCAATTATGTATTGAGCAGATAGTCTCTTTAACTGAAGAGGATATGAGGTATAGCAATAATATGACCATTACCTAAAAACTGTATGACCTAAAGGTATCTTTAGAAAAATGATACTTAGAGGTAAGCTCTTTTTTCCCAGATCTAGAGAAGAGGCAACTAAAAGCTAAAACATTAAAGTCCTTTCTCCTGTCTTATTCATATTCCTTATGCTGTAGGCAAGTGAAACCTATATCTGTTAAATGTGAATAGAAGTGCTTCTCTGTCTTCTGTGAAGAAAAATAAATGTTTGAAATTCTTATACTAGGACATCTGAAAACTTGAGGAATTTGTCAGCACTAGGTAAAAGTTCCCCATTTGTATCCTGTCTTGAGTCTGCTTCGTGACAAACAGGGTAAATAGATTCTGTAATCCGAGGTACTTTCTGTAGAAGCTCAAAGGACTGGTGGTGTCATTAGGGAGGTTTTTAGACTAAGAGAGAATTTAAACAACTTCCCCTAAGATGCTTGCACCAATGCTGCAGAAGTCAGCTTCCATACGGTTGTGCCTTGACTTCAGAAGCCATATCTGGTAGTTGCTTTTGGTGGTTTGTTGATGCAAGCTCTACCCTTTCACCACAAAATTATATCCAGACTTTTTAACAAACAGATGAGAAATACATCCTAGGATACTATTTATTTTAACAAGCACTCATGTTGTAGTAGTGCCCAGCTAACAAAGTTGCTCTTGTCCCAAAGAGCATGTAATCCCAGTTATAAAAGTAGTCGTGAGGAAATAGCAAAATGGAGAGAAGTGTGTTTTGTGAGGATAGCACAGCTGAGTATATGAAGTTTGCATGGTTTTTAAGTAAAGTGTTGATGTCTTGAATGTTCTGTTTCTCCTCTCTTCCTCCAAGAGAGGGAAGGAAAGTTCTCCTCCTATTATCCTACTGCTTTTATCCTTCTTTCCAGTTGCTGTTGCCTGTGCTTGAAGGTGACGTTTTTCCTGATCAAAATGACCCACCTTCTCTGCAAAGTGCCCCAGTGCACATCAGTTTTGTTGAACTAATAGCAAAGTAGGGAACATCATTCTGCAATTCATACCTGGTTTCTTTGAGGAGGGAGGGGAGGAGAGTTAAGCAGTCTAGAAATCAAGAATAAGTGTGCTGATAGACATGTGATGGGACATCAGATGAGATGGCGCAAGTTTTACCACCAATAACCAGCTGTGTTGCCTTTCTGCCACTCAAGCAGAAGCACCAGATCTGCTTGCAGGTCAGCTCCTGAACTGCTCCCAATATCAGCCACATCCAATTATCATATTAATGTAATCTCTTTGCTAGGACTTTGATGTGGTCACCAGTTGACCTGCAAGCAGGTCTTCTGATTAGTGTAGTTACTTTTACCTCTGGAGTTATTTTTGTCATGGCCCTGTTTACTGAGCTGATATAGCTAGGATGTGATTAAATGATCATTTAATTTTCTTTGGTATGTGCAGATTTCATAAGCAAGAAATAAAACTTCTTACTCTAAATCGGGAGTGTCCACTTTGTTGCAGTGAAACCCTACTACCCAAAATTATGAGCTACTCAGATGTGGCTTGCCGTGCAAGACTGTTTTACATAGCTACATAACCTACCACGGTAGCACAGCCATAGTTGAATGTGTTGCACTGGAAGAAGCAGAGGCTGTTAGGGAAGCTGAAGCTGGTGTCAGCAGATCACCCAGGAGCTCCCATTTGCACACCTAGATCACCCTGTCACTGAATTAGTAAATTCTTCCATCAGGACAACTTGTAACCTCCTGCCAATGAATCGGAGCTTCCTCTGGCCACAAGACTCTGAAGGTGTGTCTTGTGCCTGCCAAGCGTGTGAACAGCTTTTGGCCTATGGCATTCAGGGAAGCTGGGTACCAGCCTTCCCACAGAAGGGAATCTGTTAGCATTTGGTTTCCTTTATTTGAAACCTCACTGAGTTGAGTTTGACAGCACTGCGATGTACACAGATGTGAAAGACCCATGTTAACAGTAACTGTATTACCCGTTCTTGTGAACGGGGCTATGAAACAACCAAAACATGGTTAAAAGCATACATTTTAATGTTCTGTACGCAAGTAATGTTTGCAATATTAGACTCTAAATCTGCATTTTAAGTATTTTCCCTCAAACCTCTGCTTACTTTGGCTTGCTGGGTTGCTCTTCCTTTTAACTTTTCTTTGCTTGACTTCATTGTGCCTTTTTTTTTTTTTTAAACAAAGCAATACCTATTCAAATGAATAGGTTCATTGTGGCAGACAGGACATACATCTTCTGTCTTTCAAACTGGTATATAGGTAGAATGTATGTATGCTGTGCCATGTGGAGAGCTGTGAATAAAATATCTGAAACACCAGGTCCATTAGCTTCTGGAAGTGAAAACTGCCTCCCAAGTATGTCCTGTACCACTTGCCAGGTGCTGGCTAGTGGGTGCCCTGCAGAGGGGAAGACCACCCCCTCTGGTGCTGCAGACCCAGGGAACGGCACTGTTCTTCTGAGGAGGACTTAGGAGTCTCCTGGCTACTCTGATCTCTTCAGGTTGCTTCAAAAGGGGCATGCACACAACCTGGTGCTGTGGACACTTGTTTCTGCATTGCTGTCCCTGGTAAGTCACTCAGGTGGTTGACTTCACTGTGGTCTCCAGATCTCTGCTGCGCCAGCAGACTGAGAAGGAGCCAGTCACTGCTGCACAGTCTGTGCAGCAGAGGAATTTTGCAGAGTTAGATACAAGCAACAGCAGGGGGTCAGGTTTTCTGGAGACCACGGAGTACTATATCACCTTCTGCAGCTATAATATGCATTAGGTGCCCTGGTTCACTTAAAAGCATCAGATAGCCAGAAATTGAAGGCTTGCCATGAGGGGGCTCTTCCCCTGCTTATCCACAAGCAGGTGAATTCTTCAGACATCATCTCAAAGGGAAAAGGGCAATGCTTCTTGTAGGATTCAAAGCTCTTAACTGTTAGCCCGCTGTTGTGTAAGGTCTGTGAAAATTTCCAGAAATAAAACAGTAAAGCAAAAATTCTTCGTTCTCAGGAGAGCAGTGTGGCTGCCCATGGAGTAGGTGTTTCTTGTGAAATCCAAGAAGCCTCTAGAGAATGCAGGTTGGAAGTTGCCGTTTTTATCTGGTTGTAATAACGGTTGTAAGTTTGTAGCTCTTAGTTCCTAGCCGTAAGTGTCTGATGCCTGAATAGGCGTTTGCTGGCCTTTCATGACCTGTATAAGCCTTTTCTCGAGATTACTGAAATGGGCAGTGCTGAAGTGAATGATGCTGCAGTTAAAACTGTTGCATCCTCTTAGGCTGAGCTATCTGAGCAAACAAAATAGAGCTTCCAGATTTTCTCACTCCTTCCTTTGCTTTGAAATAAAATATCCATGTTTTTGTGTTTTATGAGAGCTGATTATAAATAGGAAAAATAGATTTTTTTTTTTAAGTTCTGTACAACAGTGTGGCTATGTGTTTTATCATGAGTAAAAAATTTTGGTCCATTACATGTAAACATATGTAACTGTTACGGTAAGACTTAATGTTGTACTTATAAATTGCTTACAGTAACAGTGACTGGGTGTTCCTCTGGGATTAAAAAGTGAACTAGATCCAATCTTATTGAAATAAAAAATAATATAGATTAACTGTTATATTTGGCAGACACAATCATACATGCTTTTTTAAGGGAATGATCCTTCATATTTGTTTTTACTCATGCAGTAATCACAAGTGAATGCTTTGAATTGTGAGTCTGATTACACTGAGAGTTTGACTTTGTACATTAAAGTGGAAATTTTTACAAGTTGAAGTTATAATTTATATCTTTTCAAACCTGTTGTGGGGCAGCTCTTACAGTGTCAAGGGCAGATTTTTTTTTTTTTCCTCTTGTTCATATTTTTTTGCATTTTAAAAAAGCACAGAGAGCATTCAGGACCTTCTGGTTTAGTGATTTGTTGTATTGGGCCTTTCCCCTTCCTCTAAAACAGTCTTTGCCAGAAACTGCATAGTGGGAGTCTTAACTTGAAATTAAAGAAAACAGTATTTATGGACCTAGTGCATAACACTGCTGGAAAAATATACACTTGAAAAATAAAGCTTTAACTCCATAAGTGAAAGTAGGAAGGTAATTTTTTATTACAGCTCAGGTGCAAAAACTCCACTGAAAGATCAAACCATCTGACTGCTACCTTTTACTAAATAGTTTGTGGTACCTAGAGTGTTAGCAGTAATGTTATAAATTCTCTTGGAACTTTAATGAGAAAATTACTCCTACAGCTTTTCAAAGTCTTGTTTGAATTTCTTGGATACTGTTTAGAATATACTTGTCAACTGACTTGTTACAAATAATGTTAAGTTAAAATTTATTGTGCCTTTTTTTTAAAATTAATTCAAATAAGTAATGTTCTCTTTTACCGTATGCCATATGATCTCTTGTTCACACATTTATTGAATATGTCAGTTTGCCAATATCTGGTTTCTTAACTTGAAAACAAAATTTGATCAACAATGCGGCTACATTTTCAAGGAAGAAGGAACAGCGTCAATATAAAATATACAGCTTTATGTGGAGTTTTTGCCTAGCGTTACAGTACGAGGCATTCCCCATCCAGTATCACAGGCTGAGAGATGGGCAGATCTTCCAGAGATGCTTGTAGAGACCTTCTGTAAAGTTTCTAATTAATACAAGACTTGACGTACTAAATTATATTAATCAAGATAAGAATATTAGTTAGATCTTCCTGATAAAATTCCCAGATGGTTCAGACTAGGGAAGTTGTCATAATAAGTGGGTAAATAGCACTTTGTTTTATGGTGAATGGAGTCACTTTGAAGAAGAAGATGGTATGTTTAATACAGCTAACTTCCAGAAACAAGGAGTACAGCCATTGGTATTGGCAGAGCAGGGGGAATGTTAGCGAGAAAGTACTGGTTGGAAAAACTAAGCTTCATTAGATAATGAAAATATTTATTAAAGATAATTAAATGGCTTCATGGATTCTTCAGAATTGAAATCGTTTAACTCATTTGTCATATTTGAAATGAAAGTTATTGAATTAGTCCATCTTAAAAGCTGACTTGGATTACTGCTTCAGCACCTGGCTTTGTAGTCATGCTCTTAGAAGGTTATTTCACTAGTAGGCAGTTACCTTTCAGGGGAAAACTACAAGGTTAAAGGGTATCTGTAATGTAATGGAGGAAAAAAAAGTAACAAAGCCTGCCAGCTGGAAACTGAAGACCAATTTAGAGACACCCCTCGCCTTCATGCTCCTTTGGTCATTCTTGATGGTTACAATCACGGCAAATGGTTGAGATTTTGTTCTTGATGTAATCCAGGAAAATTTACCATTTTAGATTGAATGATAACAAGTGTCTGGCTGAAGCATATCTTATTCATTAGATGTATAAAGTTAAATGGTGATTTTGTACATGTCTATGGTTCCTTTTTAACTATACTAATGTAGGAATCTTGTGGATGTAGGTCAGCTTCCATAGATCCAGTTCTAGGGCTGAGGTACAGGAACAGAATAGCTTTCTTAAACCCTCATTAATTAATATTCACTGCTTTGTTGATAAGTCAATTGTATGCATGATGGGTACTGATGCAGTGATGGGGTGTTTTTCTGTTAATAGTGCTACCTTACTGGCAGTTTTCCTGTTAAGTAGCTAATTACTGTATTGGATTTCATCGCTGCCTAATGCAATGAAAATAAATAATAAAGTAATACTACATTTTTTCTTTTTTTTGTTTTAGGTAATACTCTACGGAGATTTGCCAAAAAATAAAGAAAATGTAATATATTTATCAAATCATCAATGTACAGGTTTGTGTATTTTTGTGTCTTAGCACTTTTATGGATTTTAAAAAACTGCTTATCTGTTTACTGTGTCTCTTTCCAGCCTTGCCCTAATGAGCAAGAACTTCTAGTTCAGAAACCTGTACTGATAGCTATATGTGCAGCATGTGCTTTTTGTCTCTTCAATGGCAATTAAGAACTATTTTAACTAAACATTTTGGGCTTTTGTCTTTGCAGTTGATTGGATTATTGCAGACATGCTGGCAATTAGGCAGAATGCTCTCGGGCATGTCCGGTATGTCTTGAAAGATGGGTTAAAATGGCTTCCGCTGTATGGGTGGTATTTTTCACAGGTAAGCCAATTCACTTTTCCCTTGCTCTTTGTGGGTCAAATATGTAAGATACACTCGCCTTCCATTTATGATATGTGCTGGGAACGTAGTTCTGAGCTGGCACTTGTTTATTTGAACATGAAAATATATGGTTTCACTCAGTGTAGTTAGATATGTGTCTTAGTTGAGAGACAGTTATTAAAGAATCAGTTTACTTTTCTAAAATAATACTTTTACAGATGGTGTTTATTACTAGAATTAAAACTGCAGAGTATCATGCTACCAAATTGGGAGTAAATTGACATTGTTGTGGTGTACTTATTTATTTTTCAGTCATTTGGTTTTAGCACAATATAAAAGAGAAAAATTAGACCTTAGTGTAGTGTGAAGGAAAAGCAGATCCCAGCCTCGATGAAAGTCTTGACAGTTTTGCTTTGGACTTCAGTTAAGCAAAAACGCTGTAAACCTGAATCTAGCAGTATTCCTATTACTACTTTTTTTACTTTCTCCTCTTCCTACATAATGCTCCTCTTGTTCCTTTTAGTTTGAGAGCTCAAGCTGATGTGACTCAAAATTATACAATTACTGAAGAAACAGAGGGCTGTGGTCACTGTACAGCCAACACACTGAGCAGATGTGATCTTTAATCTAAAATGGTGGAGAACAGTATAGATGGAGTTTACCTCCCTAAAAACCTCTCTGAATTTTTCATGTCTATTCTTTGCTTTTTCTGAAAGCAGGACTATTTCTATATAGAAATGAAATAAAATGTAGAGGGAGGTGTTTTTGAAGTATTGGTGTGTTTTGCTCATTGATACAAAATGGCTTCACAGTATTTATCTCAGGATTTAGATGGTTGCTTAGTTGTTTAGAATAGAAATGGATTAAGTTTTGGGTAACTGTTCCAAAGTTCTCGTTCAATAAGACTTTTCTCCTTTGGCTTCCGTCTTTAATGTTCAGGGAACGGGTGAAGATCAATCTGCTTTCTGCCCTGCCCTGCCCAGGCAAAGAAAAGCAAAAAACACTTAGAGAAATATTTCTAATAGAATTAGACAGTTTGATTGAAGTGAGTCAGCCCTGCCCAAGAAGATGGGGGATGTTCAGAGCAATACTACACCGGGTATTATTTGAACTAATTTTGAAAAGGAATATATGAAGAGTAGGCAACTACAGACATATGTCCGAATAGGAGGCTTTACCCTTTCCCTCATCCTTGGCTGTATGTTCATCTCTCTCACTGCTTGCACTCTTGCATCCATAAGTCAAGTCAGATCAGCTGATTGCTAGAACCAGCAAAAGGGGGAAAGTTTTGAGTATACGGCAATGTATGGGAAGAGGGGAGGAGGCAGGATAGGCCTTGTGTGGCAGTTGACTCCAAAACTTTGCCTCCAGGAAGCTCATATAAGTTGTATTTGGTTTAGAGAGCATTGGGCAAGGGGAGGTACAGATCCATGAACTGCCTAATTAGTATGTTGAAGAATAGGAAGCGCCTGAAACAGTAGTCTTTCCCAGCAATCAGATGTTGCCTTCTAGTTTGGGCATAGGTAATTCGCAAAGAGGTTCATAGTCTTGGATCATGCCACATTAAGATGCCCAACTCTAGGGTGTGAACTATCTCACCATTTTGTCTTAGAGCACAGGTAGTGTTTGGGGTTCCTACTGATTGCTCAGTGTGTAAGAGGTTAGAGTGTCCCCTGAGGTACTGGGAGATCCAGGTTAGATATTTTCAGCACGATGGTTGAAAATGCCTTCTGGATGAATGCCTTAGCAATTAGGCTATAAATCTAGGCTGGAGCATGGGTGGTTGCCATCCTTTCTTCTAAAATCACTATGTTTAGAAAAGAACATGCTGCAGAGAAACTAAGAAAACTGTTGACGATTTCTTTTTATTGGTGGGTTTGCTGTCCCAGTCCCCTAAATAAGTTCAGACTGTCACACCCTGTCATATGTCATTGAGGGTATCCATTGGGGAAAATGGACTTCTCTGTTGTCTTTGCTTGTTGCCAGTAATGACTCCGTTTCTCTACATTTTTCTTCTACTGAAGTGAGCAGTCTGCTGCATGGAAACATTTTGCTCTTTCTCCTTGCCTGTAGTCATTACATTGCAGATTTAAGTCTGCTTTAATTAAAATACAGACAGGATATATTCCATCTGCTATCACTAGGTGTCCAGAAATGACTTTTTTCAAGATTTTGGAAAATTACTATTGCTATCTGGAATATCCGGCACTCAGTTTCCTGAGTGCTATATTGACTGTTAAAAGAAGGTTCCTGTGGAAATTAATCTGAATGTAGCCTACATTTTTAATCAGAACATATATATTAAATAAAATCTGTCCATCTTTAGATTCCCAAAAACATAAAACTACCACAAGGTTTAGTGGGAAGTGATTATATATATTTAATCCAGTGACACAAATGAAAGGCAGCTTACTAACAGTGGTGATGCGTGTGCATTTAAATGACTGAGACGGGATGCAGCAGGACTGCAGTGCAAGCTAATATGTATTTTTATTGTTTTTATCACACCAAACAGTGCAAAAACATAAAACACTTCCTGCCCTTCCTGTTGATGTTCTGTTAGTGATGTCACTTACACTCCACTAAAAGTTTCCAGAGACACGTAATTACGCCATGCTCACGGAATTCATATTCCCTACCTCAGGTAAACATCCTGTTTGGAAATAAATGTGGTCTGGATGTCCAGGAGAGCGAAATTCAGGCACAAAGGAAGTATATTTGTAAACATAATCCATTGTTGACTGAGAGAGGGGCTTTTAAAGTACAGCGGAAAAAAATTATAACCTTAAAAACAGTACTTCCAGAAATACGTTTTGAAAAGCATTCATATATTTGATCTCTTGCTGAAAAGGAAATGCAATACAAATTGGGGAATTTGAGCTATATACAATTGCATAACTAGCATTCTTCTTTGGAGGCAGCTAACTAATCACAAGAAAAGAAAAGAAGCACTTAAATTAACCCATTATGTTCCATATTTGATTTATTAGGTAGCTATTTCTTTTCATAAAACTGGCTTTATTATTTTTGGATGTATCTGAAATATTTTTTTGTCCTATCTTTCTCCACCAAAATGCAGCTAGCTCTTACTCATCTTATACCACCTGGTGAGTCTGGGATGTAATTTTGATAAGCAAGCTCTGTGATATCAAAAATATTTGACTTCTTAACATGGGAAGTATGTCTTTGTCTTTTCTGTTATTCAGCATCAGCTTCTCATCACCCTTTTGGTTGTTAGCCAAAATTACTATCCAAATATTTAGCTAGTGGGGCATCTCACATCTTTCTAGTTTTGTAACTCTGTGCCATAGGGGAGATGACATGTTTGTATAGTTGGGTTGTATGCAGCGAATGGTGATCTTTACAGTATGTGATTTGTCTGTTCTCATGTTAGGCAACTGTATACTTATATTTGAGAAGTACAAATCTATTCCTGACCATTCAGAAGGTTGAGGTGGGGACACCAAACCTGTCTTTGGTGTTGTGGTGCCCCTAAGCAAGCTGTGCAAAATCAATCTGATTCTCCAAGTTCACAAATTAAACAAGGAAAATGTGGGTCAGTATTTTCCGGGTTTGCTGCAGCTGGTTAGTAATTTGATAAATAAGGGAAGACTTTGGTTCCAGCTTTCCCTCATTTATCAAAGCTTCACCTACCTGAGCTCACATGGAATGATGACTTACCAATTACAGGGAAGTCTTGTATAATAGATGCACTATTTCTCATACCAAACTGAGTTTGCCCTTCCTGAAAGTGGTTGTTGTGGTGTCACTGTACAGAATAAGACTTCTACTTCCCTTTAATGGTGTCGGATCTTAAAAACGGTCTTACATGTGGAGTGTGTAGATAACACGTGGCTCTCTGCTGCACAGCTGATGGAATGTTCTGCTCATGCCGTTATCTCTCTGGGACTGGTAAACTGCTTTGTGAGGTGGTCCTGATACGATGCTCCAGCGTGCTAAAGGCCAAGCTCAGTGGACTGGGAGATTCTGTTCTTGGCTTTGGTCCCCTGCCAGCCACAGCAGCACAGCTGAGTGTCACAGCTGGCTACTTCACCTTGGAAGGGAACCACAGACAATAATGTTAAGACAGAATATTTAATATGGAGTTAATGTACTGTTGACTTTCTGTTCCTTTTCACTGCAGCTTTTGGTGAACAACTTAAGTCAGATACCACTAGCTAAGCAGCTGCATGGCCATCTCTTCACACCATGAAAAGCAAAGGCTGAAAGCACCTTGCATAACTGCCTCTTCTGCCTGCCTCCTCCTAAGCCCTCAAACTTTCTTCCTGTCCTTGCCATGCAAATAACGTAACAGCTACACACACACACCCCACCACCCCTATTTCTACAGTTCCTGAGATAAGACATTTGAAAAAGGTTCAGCTTGTAATAGTTTTAATCTTACTGTCATCCTTCTGTTAAAAGCATGTAACACCATAAATGGGCAGAAATTATCTGACAAATCCTGATGTCAGGGTAGGCAGAAAAGAGTATTACCAACTTAGGGAATCAGAAAACACATGAAAACAATGTACCTTAAAAATGAAATTCTGTTGTTTGGTGTCCCTCAGGGGTCCCTACTGAGACCACTACTGCTCAATATCTTCATCAATGACCTAGACAGGGGGCTCAAGTGCACCCTCAGCAAGTTTGCAGATGACACCAAGCTGAGTGGTACAGATGACATACCTGAGGGACAGGATGCCATCCAGAGGGACCTGGGCAAGCTCGTGGGATGGGTCTGTGTGAACCTCATGAGGTTCAACAGGGCCTAATGCAGGGTCCTGCACCTGGGTTGGGGCAACCCCTGCTATCAATCCAGGCTGGTGGATGAAAAGCTGGACATGAGCTGGCAATGTGCCCTCGTAGCCCAGAAGGTCAACCATATCCTGGGCTGCATCCAAAGAAGCGTGGCCAGCAGGTTGAGGGAGGGGATTCTGCCCCTCTACTCTGCTCTGTCGAGACCCACACCTGGAGTCCTACGTCCAGCTCTGGAGCCCTCAGCACAGGAAAGACGTGGACCTGTTGGAGTGGGTCCAGAGGAAGGCCACAAAAATGATCCAAGGGATGGAACACCTCTGCTGTGAGGACAAGCTGAGAGAGTTGGGCTTGTTCAGCCTGGAGAAGAGAAGGCTCTGGGAAGACCTTACTGTAGCCTCCCAGTACTTAAAGGGGGCTTATAAGAAAGATGGGGACAGGATTTTTATCAGGGCCTGTTGTGATAGGACAAGGGGTAATGGTTTTAAACTAAAAGAGGGCAGATTTAGACTAGATACAAGGAAGAAATCTTTCCCAGCGAGGGTAGTGAAACACTGGCACAGGTTGCCCGGAGAGGTGGGAGGTGCCCTATCCCTGGAAATATTCAAGGTCAGCTTGGTCAGGGCTCTGAGCAACCTGATCTATTTGAAGATGTTCCTGCTCATTGCAGGGGGGTTGGACTAGATGACCTTTAAATGTCCCTTCCAACCCAAACTATTTTATGATTATTTTTTTCAGAATTTATTGTATCAGTAGTTCGTTTTGGAACATGTTTTTTTACATCCTTTTGTAGCGACACTGTAGATAAAAGAGCGATGGAAGGGGGAAATGATGAGGCAAATTTTATTTCTTTATAACCCTCTTTCTGTATGTACTTCGCCATAGTCCTTTTACTGAAGTTTTTGTCATAAATCGTGTGGAAAAATTTATAAAATCAATCTTTTCCAGGAAATTGTCTATCTTTTTATAATGGTTTTCAGTAAAAATACCTTTATAAAATCCTTTGCCTTCTAAAGATTTTGTGTTACTTATTGAATTATTACCTCTGTTTATAACTTCTTTATTAAAAGTGTGTATCTTGGTATATAACTTCCTTGTTAAAAGTGTGATTCTCTAATAAAAGTACCTGGAAGTTTTCAAGGCCTATGCTAGTTACTTTTGTGCTATTTGGAAATTTTGTATGTATAGGTACAGTACTTTTAATTCCAGTATTTGCATTAGTCACTATTTAAGAGTGGGCACATAAAATTCCAAACATTGACCTGTAAGTACTTGCATGTGAGTAACTTCAGTCGTGATTTTTTTTTTTCCCCCCCCTTCGTATACAAGTTAAGCTGCTTGTCAGTGTTGTTGGGAATAGATAGATCCCTGGGGTTGGTTCCAATGCCATCTTCCAGTTAATTATTTAACACCTTTAAACCAGACACTTCAAGTGTCTTATGGTTTTGGTTTTTGTGGTTTTTTTTTTTAGATCTGATCTTTAAACAGATTTTTTTGTACTCAAGTACATGCAAATGTAAAATTAGTTTCAGGTGCTTTCATCCTAGGAGAAAACGTCTTGTGAGCTATTTGCAGTGTGAATCATAAAGGTGACTTGTCACTGTCGTCTTGTTTGTTATGCTATCAACTATTCTACATTAAACTAAAATATTTAATACTTCTTTTTTTCTTCTCTGTTAGCATGGAGGAGTCTATGTAAAAAGAAGTGCCAAATTCAATGAAAAAGAAATGAGAGAGAAGTTACGGGCCCAGATGAAAGCTGAGACTCCGGTAAGATTATACCTTCCTTCCCCACTTTTTCCTCCTTTTTTTAATGGCAAAGGCTTATTGGAGTAATATTCCATGCCTCATAACTACAAATTACAACACAGTAATAATGGATTTGTTTTCTTTTGGTATTTTTACAGTTACTCGCTATGATTAGAGCGATACCTCTAATTAAACTTAGGCAAATTTGACTAGTCCTTCATGAATGATACGAACTTCATGATTCTGCCTGTAGAGGGCAGGGGGGATCTGGACTAAATCTTAAACATGAGCTGTAGCACCTTCCTTGAGAAACCGCTGTCAGTGTTTTCTGTGGTTCAAAAGACAACATTTTTGACTACTGTATGCTTGTCAGAGACTGGTATTTTTGTAGAATATCAATTATTTGATCTTTTGAAAGCCAAGAACCATTCTTACCAAATCTTAATTAGTCATCCCAATAATCAATCATTTTGAATGGCAGTGATATCTTGGAACAGAGTAACTTTGTCTGCTACGCCTAGATGAGAAAAAAAACAAAAAAACCTGAACTCTTTATAATTTTCCATTTGAAGAATGATTGTTGGTGCCAAGTGACTTTTCTCATGACTCTCTGTATGGTTTGTGGCTCAGTGGTTAGAATTACTGTGCTGTGCTTCCATTACTTGTTGTGCATTAAAATGTTTTCTGTGTTTTTGGCTGGACTTAAGAAAACCAACCAAGCAAGCCTTGATATAGAACAGTTACGCTTTCATTTTATTTAAAATTATGTGATTAGGACTTGCCACTCCAAATACTAAGTGGCAAACCTTTTATAAGCTGAGGCTTGGATAAGAGGAATGCATAGGTTGTTTTGACCTTCATAATAGTTGTCTTTTTTTATTATTATTTTTAGTATTATTTTTTGCGATAGTGTCTTTATGTTTGTGCATGTATGTCTGTTGAAAAAGTAAACTGGCCTTATGTGAACTGAAAGGCTTAAGTGAGTAAAGCACTCCTGTTTAAGACAGGGCTTGAACTCATTTTGTCTTAAACTAAGATTTAGCATGAACAGGGTTTGGTTTTTTTGTTTTTAATCGAGATGAGAAAGTGGTTCTATCTCCAGTTTTTAGCATATAAGTTACAAAGGCCAGAAATACATCACAATAACTAAACTTCTGCTGTCCAGTGTCTAATCTAATGATGTCCACATGGAGAAGGTAGTCACATTCAATAGTGGTAACTTGTGCCTGCATAACCAGAGAGGGGCTTGGGATGTGAAGAGGTTGCATTGCGTCAAGTTACTTTCTGTATGTCAGTGGCCAAGTTTCTACTTTTTGTAGAATTTGCAGTGTAATGGAATAAGCAAAGACAAATTGCAGGATGTGTGAAACATATTTGTAGTCATCCCCCTAAGCAATTGCTCCCCCTGCAGAGAGCTGGTTAAGTTGCTTCAGTTAGTTTGGATGAAATACCCTAGCAGGACGTTTTCCCACATAGGCCCATGGATTTCTTGCTAGTCAAAGAGGCAGCTTCTGGTTGAGTCCAGCTTTCTGGCTTCCGTCTGCACCCCCTAAAATGCAAGGTTTGTTGTAATAATAAGGTTTTGATTGTGATAAGAGTCTTGATTTGAACTCTGCATTAAATTAGTCTGCTTTATAGAAATGTAGGTTTTTTGGGTGTGGTTTTTCTTTTGGTAATACAATCTTAGGAAGCTGTGCCTAGAAACTCATCTAATTCTGCATCTCTTTGGAAACCTGCAAATGATTTTCAGTGTTGCTTCAGTGCTATAAATTTGACTGGACAGGCTAGTGTGTGATTTTAGCCCAACTGGAACGTAAGGGGAGGTTTAAGCATAAAGCTTTTCTTTCAAGCTACATCTGCTGTGGGTTCTGCTTTCCATGATGGATGTCTACTTGTGATTAAGAAATTAAATAAATCCAGAAGGCTTTTTTTCTGGAATCATCTTTCTCTTCCCTCCTCTGTTGTGTGTGGATTGAAAACCTATACCTAACCTATCTAAGTTAACGCCAAATGAATTTGGGACCACTTGGGGTACGTTTGGGTTTTTTGGTGTAATTTGGCTATCTGGAATTTTGGTGGTGTTGCAACTGGGCACAGAACCTGGATATGCTTACCAGGCAATTGTTGCCATTTTCCTCATATTATCTAGGCTAGCAGTATAGAAGAGAAGTAAGTGTAACTACTGCAGAAATGCATTCTGTTTTAAATCTCTTTCAGCCAGACGATATAGGGAGTGACACTTAAGTTTTACAAAACCAAAGCTGTCAAAAGCTTGTTTGCTGAGACAAATGTTTGCATCTGCTGGGGTAAAAGACACAGACTGTTGAGTTGTCATTTGAGGGAAGACTAAACTTTCTATAATCCACTTTATCTGAGAATTGAATTGTAGATGCTGTAAATGCCCTTTCACCTACAATTACTACTGGGAGAAGAACATGATAACCTGTGTCCTTACCGCATTATTCATTAAGAAACTTTGCAATTCTGCAACTTAGCATGACATTCACAAGCAACCATATTGCTTTTAAAATAAAGACATTTTAATCAGTAAAGCAAGTATGACCTGAACTCGTCAGCTTCATGTGAAAATAATTAATTTACTGCTCTGGAATTTTTATTAAAATTTACTCAGTGGATGCTACTGTTCAGGGTAGGCTTTTCCTCACTTTAGTGAGCAGCTGTTGTTGCTTAGTAATTCTGCGTGTACATGGTAGAGTTCGTTCTTTAATGTAGTGTTAGAGAAAAGCTTGCCTTTCAGCTGCTAAGGAAAGAATTATATGCCAATAGAGAGTAGATGGAGGGGAGTCTGTATTAAGGGTCACTTTGTTACTTACAGTTTCTCTCCACATACAGTTTAAACAAAAGAATCCAAATGACAAATGTTCAGTCTGTCTATCCCTGTTCCCATTAAGAAACTGAAGATGTGTAGGAAGGCAGAACCAGTTCTTGTTAGTGTAGCAAGCTCTTTACTGTTTTACTGTAGCTCTTTTGGGCGGAGTGGGGGGACCTTTTTTCTTTTTTCCTCCTTCCCCTCTCCTTCCCCTTCTTTGTTCTTTTCTCTGTTCTTTATTTTTTCCTTTTTGTTCTTTTTTTTTTTTCCATTTTTAATGAAAAGTAAATCAGAGGTGGAACATGGGAAAAATAAGGCTCCCTCTTGGACTCTTACCTTCACAGTAGAACCAGATAAGTGATCTGGTATGTCTCATTTTGTGTAGGGGCAGTGGACTGCATGATGCTCCTTGCTTGCCTTGTCTTATGACTTCTACCTGCCTGCCTTAACCAGCCCCTTTCCTGCCCTGCTGGTCACAGTTGTTCCACCCTTCTTCCTAGGTGCAGCACAGCAGTATTAGACACACACAAAACTCTGATGCTAGGCTGAAATGCTGTTGCACCTGTGTTTTCTTAGTGGAGATCTTGAACTAATAAATTTTCTCATTTATTTCTGGAAATCACTTTGCTTCTCAAACTGTCATTGAAGTATACACTCAAATGATTCATTATTGGGCCTTTTGTGGCAAAAACCTTGAAAGGATGTGATTTTGTTTTAAATTGTATAAAATCTGGCTGATTGTTAACAAGAGTCTCTGCTCTCTTGTTGTGAGAGCAGAGACTGTCACATGGTTTCAAGGACACTTTTGTGTTAATGTTGTTTTAATGTAAGCTGTAACAAGAGAAACGCATTTCTCAGTGTAACAATATATCCAGCCGGCACTTGATATACTCAATCTGCTTGTTTTATAAAGAAAGTTAACTCTTCTGAACAGCAAACTATTCAGTTTAATAACTGAAAATGTAACATGTATCTTCTTATCATGCATCGAGAGTAGAAAATCTGCATTCTGAGATGTGGGATTTAACCCAGTATAGCAAATATTTAGCTGGTTAGTAATGATTTTGAACTTTGAAAATAAAAATATTCAATTGTTTTCCCCTTGTCAGCCACCCAGGAACAGCACAGTAAATGCAAGTTATCTTTAGCCAGTAGTTACCACTTCTTGATGCCCTGTGTTCTTCTACAGACTGTCAGCTACTCTCTCTGGGACACCCTCCAAAGCCCTGTCCTTGGTCAGGATTTTTTATCACCACTTCTCACTGTATGTGTATGGTATCTGGGCTGGCTTTGTTCTGTATTCCAGGGACTCGCGTGTTGCCTCATGCCCCCTTCCCCTGCTCCATCCATACTAGCTGCTTTTCTGGTACTCTGATTTCCCTCAAGGACTTTCCTTGGCTGCCCTACTCCCCTCTCTGGAAGCACAGCCCGTCTCAGTGCCATTGCTATTTCTTTTTGCCTGGGTGACCTTGACAACACTGGGGAAATGAAAAGAGTTGGTATTCAGGTGAAAGCAGTTATCATCATGCATTCAGTTCATTTGTGGATTGTGGCAAGTCCACTGACATTACGCTGGGGACTCTGTGGGTAACCGCTCCCTCTTTTCTATTTTTCTGGCTCCAACAAGAATCAGTAGGGCTCTACTAAATGAATCCTGATCCGTTCCTTGAAGCTTTCAGATTGACGAGAGATAGCGAGTACACGGACACCCACCCATTACAACAGAAAGTCATGAAAGTACCATGTATCTGAACATAGGAACCTACTCTGCTTGCATTAAAATCGGTGTAACAGTGAATCAGGGACTGCGGTAATGCGAGATTTTCTGTGTCATTTTGAACACAAGCACTGTATTCTGCAGTCACTGTGATAAGATGTGTAATTTTTATGTAGCTAATTGCCCTAAATGAAAAATTTTGTATAAAAAATTGCCTTAGCTGCAGCTAGTGTTTCTAGGCAATTAAAATGCTCCTAGAACTCAACAGTTCTTAACCCAAGTTCAGGGGAGCTTATTTAGTTATTAAAATCTCAGAGATTCTTAGTTCTTATAATAGTTGGAAATAGTGCTTAAGGATTTAGCTTCTGCTGCCCGTGGTGGGAGAAAACCGAGTCAATACAAATAGATTTGGTAGGCTGAATTGCACTGGCAGAGTATCTTTTTCTTGTACAGGACTGTAGGTGAGTATAAGACAGACATCTATTTACATTCATGAATTTTACCCAGGTAAAGTAGTCCTAATGAGCTACATATTAGGTTTATATATGCTGAATTTAAAGCAAAAGCCACCTCTCTGTCATGTTGGTGTGATTCCAGTTCAGATATACTCAGATTCTGGTCAACAAACTGGTTCAGCTGCTTGTGTTTTAGAGGTTTGCAAGAACAATTAAAATATAATTTCAGCCCCTGCTTTGTAGGACTGGAGTAAGTAGGTATTATTCTCTCTTGTGTAATCAGCTTTTGGTGGCTGATTGTCTGCTCTGAAGACCAGTAATGTTGTTGCATGCTTTTAAGTGCTGATCTCTGCACCAAGAATGGTATTCCTATCCTGTGTGCTTCGCTTTCTTTGCTCTGTCCATTATCACTTGTTACTCTCCCTGTATTACCTTTTGGAGCAGAGCATTCAGTCTTTAATTGGAGTGGGGGGAGTAACCTCATCTTGAAGTACCATTTTAAGGATCCAAATTATGTGATTTGAGTATAAGCACATTTATGGGGGAAAAAAAAATAAATGCATGTGGATTTGAATATTTTGCCCTTTCCAGCTAACTCTGAAAAGTTTTACTTAGTCACTTAAATATCTCAACAGTGTACTTCATAGCTGAAATGTATACATGACTGGGGAAAGTGTGGACTGCTGCTGGGTCTAAGGATTCCTGTACTCGTCCCTGTGCTTATGCTACTGTCATGGTAGAAAAAAGTAAGCACCTTGCCTCTTAAACCCATTTTCTTTTGTTATTTCCCCACCAAATCTGTGTACATCTTGGGTTTCTGCCGGTCCTTGCATGGTCTTGGACTCCACTTGTATCTGCAATCTGCCAGTTCTCCTCCTCCCCGAATGTGCCATGACAAGTACAGCCTTTCCTCTAACTCTCTTCACTCCACTCTACTGACACTGGTTTTGCCATTCTTAATATTTCTTCTTTTTTTTTTATTTTTCCAGATTCTGGGCTATGTACTTAGTTCTCCTCTTTCTTGCTCTCATGCTGGCTTCACTGGCTGGCACAGTTCCTATATTTCTGGTACTTTTATACCTTTGCATTTTAGCGCATCTTTCAACCTTCCTCACTGTGGGGTGATACCGGAGAGTTTGCTGGCTGGGTCCTGTCTTTCTGCATTCAACTTTTTCTCTACAATCATTAAGTGCAAAGCACACTCTCTTGATGTTTTGTGGGCCAGAAGCACAAAGTTATATTCCTGTATGTCTCTTTCTGAGTTTTTATTTAACTTCTCATCTTTTCATATGTGCACTCCCACTTGTCAGTGTTTTCCTGTACTCACTGATAATCCTTCTTGAACTGCTTTGTAAATCCACTATCTCTCTTTCTTTCACATATTTTCTGAGACTCACTGATGCAAAGATAACATATGAAGTAGTTAGTCTAGGCACAGTAGGCATGATTTTACTGTGAATGGACACTCCACACTAGTTACCATATGTGGCCATAGCCTTTTCTTCTGCAGATGGACCCCAAATACGAAATTTTCACTGTTTAAGTGATGTTTGGCGTCAACTTTGTATGTAGGAGATGATGCAAGACATGTGCAAAAAGAGAGAGATGGAAACCTCTGTTCTGTTTCAAAAGCAAATAGAAAGTTCATTAAATTTGACTGCTTCTATTTGGGTACGTAATTTTGCAGTCAGATATGCAGATACTTAGGCAACTGTTACCTGTGTAATGATTTGAGAACGAACAGACAGTTGTTGCTGAATAGGCAAGCAAACCAATTTACTTGGGAAATCAAAACTTGCAGACGTGCATGCTTAGAGGAATGTGACTTTAAAGTTCAAATTATGTTAAAGTCTGAGTTTAAGTTCATAATATATTTAATATCTAATACAGTGAGATACATAAAGGCACATAAGGTAGCTGATCTATCATAATTTCAATTAATAGTATTTCTGATTATGAATGGAATTAAATATGTATTTTAGTATAAGGAGAGACTAGATGCAAGATCAGTATTAAAGAAAAAAATATAATTTAGGTCATCTGTGACATACTTGACTGTCTTTTCAAAATCTCCTCTTATCCCATTATACAAAACCGATACTCTCATTGATATCAGCTGCTCCTGACTTGCTTGCTTCTGTTGACTTGTGCTATCTCCCTTCCTAAATCACCTGGGCGACTTTCTATGGTGTACACTCAAAGAAAATTATTTTGACCCTCAAACAGTAAGGTTCTTAAAGCTCAGAAATTTTAGCTCAAGTATTCTTTGGATCCTTACAATAATCGATGGTGTGAATTAGATTCAATATGGGCCTATTAAGTGATGATGATTTCTGTAGAACAAATCAGTTTACATTCATTATAAGAACTTGTCTATTTTGTTTCTTTTTAATCCCACAGATGTATTTAGTGATTTTTCCAGAGGGGACTCGTTACAATCCAGAAATACCAAAAGTCATTGCAGATAGTCAATCATTTGCTGAAAAGGAAGGTAAGCAAAAAAAGTTTTGAAATCATTCTTTTGTTACAGTGTTAACACGTGTTACATAAAATATGTTATATAATACGAAGATGATCTCACCTTAACTGCACTATTAAGCCTGCCTGATTGATACTTAGGGGTTAGAATAGCATAAGCAAGTGTTTCTCTTACCACAGAGTAAGATCAGAGCAGTATATACAGACATTTCATGCATTTCACACTGTGCAAGAGTATTAATTCTCAAGAAAGCTCTCTTTAGTTTCTGTCTATATCTGTGTATTTATGGACACTTCTTTTCTTGCTCCTACAGGGACATAAGAATTACCTGCACTGGATCAGGGCACTGTTCTATCTAAGTTGACATTATAACTCCAATTACAGTTGTTACTCGATACAAAGAATATTTTGTATAGAGATTGTTGTGCCTTAAAAGAAAAAGTCTTCCATCACTTCATTTTTAATTACTGTTAGTACTACCATGGCTTTTTGGTTTTGTTCCTTTCTTACCTTCCAGTCTCACCCTTCCTTGGTTTAACTGTATTATGTAGTTGCTTTGAGTGTTGGGATCATCTCTATAACGACAGATGGAATTACTTCATCTTTGGAAAGACTTGCAAAAAATCTAAGGGTCCCAAGCTTTTTCATTTTTTTCTCACATCATATGCACAATACACGTAAACTTTTAAGTCCAACAGTTCAGTGAACATGTTTCCTGGTTTTGTTTTTTCCTGTTGACCAAAAGTTAAATAATTCACTGTGAAGGTAAACAAAGAATAACAAATAGGTCTGGTAAATTCATTTCTGTGACACACTGAAATGAATTCACAAGTCTGTGAATCAGCCTGTTGATATCATCAAGCTATTAAGTATTGTTAGCCCTTGTCCAAAAGGATACATGCTTTTCTTCTCCTTGGGAAGAATGGAATTTGTTTGTGTGTATGAGGAGGAGAGCTTAAGTCATAACGTATTTATTCATCGCTTCAGTTTCCTGTCGGAAATGAAAGTCAAATGTTTCATTTAGGTTGGTGGTTCTTTGAGAGTTCAGATGGGGTGTTTGATAGGGGGTTTCTTCCCCCCTCCTCCTTTTTCAGGGAAAAGAAAGGGCTCTCATTGTGATTATTATTATTTTAATAAACCTCTTAATTACATCTCTGCAGTCTGCAAAACAGTAAAACACTGCTTTTGTGCTTTCAGAACACCTGTTTGTTTCTTCTAGAGCTTTTGTCCAGTTTTGGTCTGTTTTTATTTTGTAAGGGTTACTCCTTTTAAAAACTCCCAAGACAAATATTTATTAAACAGGAAGCATCTACTATTCTACTACAGAATCCTCTTGATCTTCTTTTCCCCATTGCTAAATTCTTTTGTCGTTGGTCTCCTCAACTTTTTATATGGAGAGGATTGGGAAGCAATCTGTGTCAGACCCTGCTCCCCTACAAGTTCATATAAAGATTGATACTCGCTTGAATTAGAGCATCCATCGCAGAAGCAGTCTGAGAAGCAGGGATGGCTGACACTGAAAGCCGCGTGCCAAACTCTTCTGACAGCTAAGAGCCACAAGGCATATACCAGTACAAGGCACCATACATCGGGGAGCTCTCAGGACGGGGAACTCCACATGGCCACCAGCAGGAGATGACAATGACTCCACAGGGTCCCCCCACCATGCTGCCGTGCTCTTCTCAGCTTGCAGCTTCCACCCAGCAGCCCCAGTGCCGCCACAGTCCTGGCTGCTGGCCACGTGCTGGGGCTGCAGCGTGGGAGCCATGACCAAACCCCTCTCCAGTTGGTCGTGTATAGATTGAGTGCTGGCCACGCTCCTTGTAAGCATGCAAGGGCTGTTACGTGACACCGCTGAGCTGAACTAAAAATGCACAACTGCATGCTTGTCTAAAAGGATCTTCAGAGCTTCTTATTTCCTACGGTTTTAGGAAAGGTGGTAATACCCAGTAGTACTGCCAGTCAGAGGAATGAGGACATACTGTAACTTCAAGTTTAAAATCTGTACTTCATACCTGGTGGAGATATAATGAAATCTGATAATTTGGTCTTATCTTTGTTTACAGAGCACAGTGCTTCAGTATTGGCTTTTCAGACATGCAGGGGAATTTTTTTGCTTGTTTTTCCCTTGAAATGTAAGCTTTATAGTGATTATTTTCCTACATTTTTGAATGATTTATATGTTGAGAAAATAGTGCAATTCTAATGTTGGAAAAAGTGGCTCAATTAAGAAGTAAACTTCAAATTGATGTTAGGACCAGAGGTAGTGTACCCAAAGATAAAAAAAGCAGTTCCTAGAGCACAAGCATAACTTACATTTATGATGCTGTCTGAACTACTGTTTTTGACATAAATGTGTGTATATGTTTTAGTAGTTTTGCAGAGAGGAATTATGAAAAAGTTGTGTGAGTTTTGTGTTTACTTTTACTCTCCCTGTGCTGGATTCTCTTTTTGAGAAGGTTCATTGGTTTAAGCAGAATTATTGGGTCAAAGTTAATACCTGGTCTTAGTGTGAGCAGCTGATGAGCTGCGTCTCCAATCTTGACATTCTTTTTAAGTAAACACTAGTTTTGGACACAGTTACTGCTTCTTTACAATTGGTCCTAGGACCAGTTCAACAAAAATAAAATAAAAAAATGAAGTTTTAGGTTTACATCCAAAGGCATACTTTCACACTGCTGATTTCAACTATTATGTCTTTTCTCATTGATATGAATATATAAATAAATCTTCTTTGTCTGTGAATAGGATGGAACGATATCAAACAGCAAAAGAATTTAAAGGTGATTTAGGTTGCCCTTGAAAGAGAGGCAACTTTTTAAAATACTGATAATACTTCATATTACAGTTTGTTCTGCCACAGGACTCGGATTCTACACAAAAACTTGACCCCTAACAAGAGCAGATGTATTTCCTCTTTCTGAAACACAGGCAAATCAAACACACAGGGTAGATCCCATAGATCTGGGTAGATAGGGTTATGAATAAGTTGAGACTGAAGGTTATAAAGCACAGAGAAACTTCCAGAGGAGGAGTAGGGCCATATACTTTCTTACTATTTTTAGAAAGAAAGAAGGGATATTGTACAGTAAAAAATGAAACCCGTAAACTGGTCATGCAAATTTGTCATTAACTATCTTGCCAAGTTCAAGTTGAATGTACTGCCAGGTTTTTGTTTGTTAAAACCAAAGAATGCCAAAACCATCTAGAGGTAAAAATGATAAAAATTGGGCATTAATATTCCTTGTTTTCCTGTTGGAGACTGACACAAGAATATTCTTCAGCACTGATGGATTTGACACAGCAAAACTCTTATTCTAATTAATTTGAACTCTACTGTAAATTCTGTCCACCATAACTGTATTCAGTGAGATAAAGAAAGTTGCTTACTTCCAGTAATGGTTTTGTAGTGATAAACAGAGAACGTTATCGCCTAAGGGTAATGCTGGTACCCTCAGAAACTGAGGTTTACTCATTCTACACATATTACAAGTGTCAGAAAATTCCAGTCAGATCACATTTTTATCCAGGATAGGACAGGCACCATTTTAAAATTGAAATACATTTCTTTGATTGCATTGGGGAAGAAAAAATGCACTTCCTGAAGTTCAAAAGCAGAAGCAAAAATCACCTCTCTGTGATTCTATGAGAAATAACCAAATAATAGAATCTTTGTGTTGGAAGGGACCTTTTAAGCTCATCTAGTCCAGTCCCCCTTCAAAGGAGCAGGAACATCTTCAACTAGATCAGG